GATATAATTTATATTAAAATTCCTACAAGTAAGTTTTGAAATGTCACTAGTAACAACTGGAATACTGGAAATTTGTCACCAATAACAATAGTTATGGGATAATGACTGGCAGCAAATAAGTAAGTTTTACAAAGTAAGTACTAATTAACAATATTACTCACTACTGGAATTAATAAATAAAAAATAGAAAGTACTGGATTACTTAATACTAATTTAAAAAGTGCTAGAAACATAGAACAGACACTAGTTCGTATGAAATGAATAAATGTTAAAACGGATTGCCATACCTGCAATACCAGTCTGTACTGACGCAGTTCGGCATCATTTGAGGACTGACTGCCAGACTCGTCGTTTACATATAATAGCTAATATTAATTATAATCAAATATTTATACAATTATCTGAAAAAGCAAAACAGAACATATATATAGTTACTAATGGCATTAACTTCTTTTTCAAGTAAGAGGTACGCTCCCTTACATCAAAAATTCATGCCACAAATGTAGCCTACTTTAAAAGCTATAAAAGAATTTTAAAATATTTTCTTTTCAATATGAAACTAATATCAGTATTTAACTCACCATGCTTAGGTAGTTGACAGAGGTTGTCACGTTGTTTAATCCGTCACAAAACTATAAAGTGCGCAGCTGTCCCTTGAAATAACATTTTAATGAATGGTCTTTCAGACGTCTAATTTGACCAAGCGACCACATAGCAGCTTCAAACCCCGAGTAGCCTACCCTTGCTTCTTATAAATGTCAGCGTCTGTAAGGGACATGAAATCCAGAGCCCGCTGATGAGATTATTTGCTCACTGCGGCAATGCTCTCCTCATCTCGGATAATACGGCACCGACACCTCCCTAAAGATTCATCCCTCGTTATGTTATAGCGTTCATAGTTAGCTTCGGTTCCCGTGCTGATGCGCTGTTATGGACATCCCGCAGCGCCTAGCAACACTGTGTGTCCAATAAAAGCGTCTGTTTTTAGGCGGTACCCTTATCCTCCTCTGCACGGGTCGTCATGGACCCCACGGAACGCTGGGCCCGCCCAAACCTATGTGACGTGAGTGACCAGAGCTTGGTGAAGGACGGAACGGGGCACGCACGTCACTGTCCTGCAGAGACATAACTAGGCTAATTGTCATATTGAACTAATATGACAGTATAACTAAGTTTTAAGTAGTTTACAGCAACTTCGCATAAGGTATCCCTTTACTATTCTCAGTATATAGGCTACCTAGGCCTATGCCCGCCACGTGACTTGGTTAAGACTGCTGAATATTTAATGTGAATTAATGTTGTATGACGATGCTTTTTATTCTCTCATCCCTTCCCTCCTCCTCTTGCTATTTTCCTGAAAGAAAATGTTCCACCTACTGGAGAGAGTTGTGTTCATTCCCTCTGCAATTACAGTATTACATTCTTATAGGGGAGACGAGGGTGAGTTTTAACATCATGGTTTAACCATAAGTAAGTTAAGTGAAATAATACGTGTTCACCACCTTCCTGAGGTGATTATTAAAATTGTACAGTAGAATGACAGAATTTGTCAACTCAATGTTTTCTGTTAGTGTAACAACCCACTCCATTAGCCGACTGAGTTGACTGTAACAATAGCTTTGCACTTGACATTAAAGGCAAATCTGGGCATATTATATCAAAGTGAGTCACATAAATAAATACTGAAAAATGTTACAACTATTCAAGTCTACCACAGACAAAATAATTTAGTGCTCAGCTCATTTATGGAAAGTGTATGGACACATTTTTACACAGCAAACGGATAATCTTTATCGTTTAGAGATTCTAAAAGACAAATGTGCAGTAAGGGTCAGAAATCTTACACACTGGTACCTTATATTTATAGAAACTGAACGTCTTCTGTAATACTGCAATTAATTAGATCTGTCATGAGTCTGTACTTTAAGAACTTGACACACTGAACTGTTGTCAGTGCTCTCTACAATTAAATGATTCTGCTCTGTCCCAGGGTAGTAGGCAATTACAACAAATAGGGTACTGAATAGGACCTGAAACACTTAAAGGGATAGTTTACCCAAAAATGAAAATTCTGTCATCCACAAATGTACTTTAAAAGCTGTAAAACAATTTTAAAAGATTTTTTTTTCAATGTGAAACCAATATCAGTATCTAACTCACCATGCTAGGTAGTTGACAGAGGCTGTCACGTTGTTTAATCCGTCACAAAACTATAAAGTGCGCAGCTGTCCCTTGAAATAACATTTTAATGAATGGTCTTTCAGACGTCTAATTTGACCAAGCGACCACATAGCAGCTTCAAACCCCGAGTAGCCTACCCTTGCTTCTTATAAATGTCAGCGTCTGTAAGGGACATGAAATCCAGAGCCCGCTGATGAGATTATTTGCTCACTGCGGCAATGCTCTCCTCATCTCGGATAATACGGCACCGACACCTCCCTAAAGATTCATCCCTCGTTATGTTATAGCGTTCATAGTTAGCTTCGGTTCCCGTGCTGATGCGCTGTTATGGACATCCCGCAGCGCCTAGCAACACTGTGTGTCCAATAAAAGCGTCTGTTTTTAGGCGGTACCCTTATCCTCCTCTGCACGGGTCGTCATGGACCCCACGGAACGCTGGGCCCGCCCAAACCTATGTGACGTGAGTGACCAGAGCTTGGTGAAGGACGGAACGGGGCACGCACGTCACTGTCCTGCAGAGACATAACTAGGCTAATTGTCATATTGAACTAATATGACAGTATAACTAAGTTTTAAGTAGTTTACAGCAACTTCGCATAAGGTATCCCTTTACTATTCTCAGTATATAGGCTACCTAGGCCTATGCCCGCCACGTGACTTGGTTAAGACTGCTGAATATTTAATGTGAATTAATGTTGTATGACGATGCTTTTTATTCTCTCATCCCTTCCCTCCTCCTCTTGCTATTTTCCTGAAAGAAAATGTTCCACCTACTGGAGAGAGTTGTGTTCATTCCCTCTGCAATTACAGTATTACATTCTTATAGGGGAGACGAGGGTGAGTTTTAACATCATGGTTTAACCATAAGTAAGTTAAGTGAAATAATACGTGTTCACCACCTTCCTGAGGTGATTATTAAAATTGTACAGTAGAATGACAGAATTTGTCAACTCAATGTTTTCTGTTAGTGTAACAACCCACTCCATTAGCCGACTGAGTTGACTGTAACAATAGCTTTGCACTTGACATTAAAGGCAAATCTGGGCATATTATATCAAAGTGAGTCACATAAATAAATACTGAAAAATGTTACAACTATTCAAGTCTACCACAGACAAAATAATTTAGTGCTCAGCTCATTTATGGAAAGTGTATGGACACATTTTTACACAGCAAACGGATAATCTTTATCGTTTAGAGATTCTAAAAGACAAATGTGCAGTAAGGGTCAGAAATCTTACACACTGGTACCTTATATTTATAGAAACTGAACGTCTTCTGTAATACTGCAATTAATTAGATCTGTCATGAGTCTGTACTTTAAGAACTTGACACACTGAACTGTTGTCAGTGCTCTCTACAATTAAATGATTCTGCTCTGTCCCAGGGTAGTAGGCAATTACAACAAATAGGGTACTGAATAGGACCTGAAACACTTAAAGGGATAGTTTACCCAAAAATGAAAATTCTGTCATCATTTACTTATCCTTAAGTTCCAAACCTGTATGAGGTTCTTTCTTCTGCTGAACACAAAAGAAGTTATTTTGAAGAATGTGTGTAACCAAATGGTTGATAGCCATTGTATGGAAAAATACAGAGAAGCTCAATGTTTGGTTCATTCCTATCTAAAACATTCAACTGTTTGGTTACACAGAGTTCTTCAAAATATCTTCTTTTTAACAGAATGAATGAATGAATAAATAAATGTTGGGAACAATTTCAGGGTGAGTAAAAGTTGACAGAATTTCTATTTTGGGGTGAAATGTCCATTTAAAATAATAATAATAATAATATTAAAAAAAAGGAAAATGGTAAAAGGAGATTTTATTGTCAGCGTACAATACACTGATATTAACATTTTAATAAAAGGGTGTTAATAGTTTAATTAAAGAATATTACAATTCAAATGATTATTTGATAAATGTATCAGAAGAAAAGATGCATGAGAGAAAATGCATATTTTATATACTCTTTTATATAATAAAATATATCTCTACATAGCCAGTTGTATTTTTATATCACCTAATTACTGTATAACTACTTTATCTGCTAACTTTTGCCTGCAGTCAGAAACATGCAATCAACATTATTATTATTATTATTATACAGTAAATTTGAAGCAATCAATTTAATAAACCTGGATCCTGGGTGTGTTTAACTATCACTAGATGGCAGCACAAACACAGATGTCTCTGAACACTGAAAGTTTTAGTTGTTGCATATTTGGCACCGACTCAAAGATCTAAAGGTCAATGGTCGGACAAAAATGCACGCCTCTGATTGTAATATGTTTGTACCTATAGATATAAAAGTTTAAAACGTTGGGAGTGATCACGGGCCTATTTAGGCCTCTAATAATAATATCTACACTAAGAGCACGAGCTTGGTATTAGATTGTGGACGAACGGCTGTGCCAGTGTTGAGCCTGCACTGTAGCGATTCGAAGTTTAACTGATCATCGGAATCGGTTCTTTCGTACAAATTGCTCATAGAGCCGTATAAAAACAGCCCCCCCCTTTACATAAATATAGGTTTCTGCCATCCTCAAATGGAATATTTTGTACTCTATATTCTGATATAGGCCTATAGCACATGTTACTTAATTTTTCTATTAATAATTATGTTTTATTGTAATTTCATGTGGTACATATCTATGATATTTTGTATAAACAAAACGTTTAGAAACTAACAAATTTACATTAAACACTGCTGAAATATTCCCGGCTACAAAAAAGTTTTGTACGTTTAGTAAAATGCGATTTGTAAACGAATTGTTCAGATAAGTCTTAACCGGTTCGTCTGGATGATTGAAAAGATCCGACTCAAAAGAGCGATTCGGACATCGCTGCAGCAGTGTTTGGCAGTCATATGTCCAGCCCCCTTTTCCTTTCATCGTCCATGAGATCATAATGCACCATAAAAACACTGAAACCCAGCTATTTACGGAGTGTTAGTTATAATCAAAGGAAGGATTATGGCTTCAGAAGCGATGGAATTGAATGGAGATGCTAACAGAAGTGATTCAAGAGAGGTGAGTGATTTTGAACATATCAGTGTCATTTAAAACGAGCACAAACTCCTCCGCCAATGGGATGTTTGTGTTCAAGTTTAACCCATTATATTGATGTCTATAAAATCCAATCGGGTTAGATAAAAATACATTGACCGAACCATACATAATCTTATAACGAAGGTTTTTGTTTGGTTATTGTTGTCTGAAAGCGTTTCTTAATTTTTTTTGAAAGAAAAAGGCTGCTCATGTAGGCTACTGCATTTTCCATCCTGTAATGCAATGCACTTGTGTGGACGAGTCTAACTGAAGGGATAGCCTACTGTGGTGTGGCCCGCGGGGTAAATCTTATAATCGCAGACCATGTGCTGATAGAAGCTGCTTTCGACTGGCCGAGAGGTTTGTTTTTGTAACTTACAACCTTCCGTTACTGGAAACAAACCTCTTGTACAACTTGTAAGTGACAACGAGTCCTTAACATTTCAGCTCACGCGGCACAAAAGCGGTTCAAAGTTTGGAAACAAGCCTCTTATTCATTACCCCGGTGTTTCGTTCGACTGCGTCCAGACTGACTTACGATGAGATCACCGGTCCGTGTAACCCTCAACAATAGGCTGTGAAAGACACTAATAAACTGTCAGTTCAGACGACACGCATGAATAACGCGCATTTAAAACACTGCATAAAATGCAATGCACAGCGATGCCCACAAACAAACGGCGGTGTAGCACAATTCTACATTAACTAAATAACGTGTAACACAAGTAAACTTATTTCAACAAAAAGTTCACTATGAGATGGTTTCGAACTAGATTCCGTCATAATTTCCATTTATTAAAAAGGGTACTTTTAACAGTATTTTTACCATAAAAGCATATTGGTTTCTTGATTATTAATATTCTTTGTAAATTATAAAGTAATACCCCTTTCCTCAATATAAATTAGCCTATATAATACATGTATTCCATATTTTATATGAATGTATATGGAACTTATACATTTAACCAATTAACTATTTATCTTACAGATCCATTCCAACCATGAAAATGAACCAAGTTCATTTTCCATTAATATTTAACAGTAAAACCATAATGGATGGATTCTACATTGAGCTAGCCAAGTTTTACCGTCTCACTAGCCAAGGAGGGAACAAAACATGTACAAAGTAAACAAAAACTGACATCACATCATAAATTATGTTCTAGCAATAAAGACCTATCTAAAGCATTTTGTATAGTAGTTCCTATTACTACTACTAGATGATGTGTAGTTTGTTATTTTAGGGTAAAATATGAATGTATAGGGGAAAGTGTATTTTATGTTTTGACGGGTCACAATTTCTTATTACAAGTTTTTTCAACTCTTGCAATTCCCTTTGCTTATGTTTTTAATTCAATTAAACCTTAAATTTGAATGTTTAATGTTTTTCGTACACTTTCATTACTGTTTGCACTGAAGAAAGGTGAGGTGAAGTGGTTAGAAAGACTAGAGGAACACCTTACCACCAGTGGATTTTTTTCACCCAACAAACACCCTGAAACACACAAAATCAAACATATAATCATTCCTGTGGGCAGCACCAATGCTTAAGACACTGTGTGTTTAGGCAGACTGAAAGGGCAATGATTTCTATGTGGCTAATTTCAGTGCCCAGTGGAAATGACGCCTCCACCTGGCTTTGGTATGATGTAATATTTGAGTAATATTATGGACAATTGCACCCTTGATTGTAATTCTAGTGCCACAGGTCTATAAATAGTCTAGTCGCAAAGGGGGAAAAAATAAACAAAATTCACATGTATTAGCAAAGTTAACAGTTAAAAACTATAGTTGTACCGTAGCTCTAGGTTTGTTGAGTGCATTACAGTTACATATCACTTTGCCACATTGTTTATGAACAAGTAACAGCAGCTGTGCTCTGCAAGATATTTCATCGGTGGCATAGTGAAGTGGTTCAACGGACAAGAGTGATGCAAGTCTGAAAAACAAGATAAACACATGGACTTTTTCTGCTTTTACCACTTCAGCTGTGGATTCATTTTAAGTAGTTATACAGTAGAATGCATACAGTATATGACATACTGTATGTATAGCCCATGCAAGTCATTACAAACTGCCAGGGTTGCAATGTCTTTATTTTTAAATGCTTGATTTATGTGTATGAAATACTTCGGGTAAGTGTAGCCAGGAGAACTTTTATGGCATTTCTGGTTTGAAAGAAAGCTTGGGAACCTTTTGTTTTTTAACAACTAATGAGCTGCATGGATCCATAGCAGGACAGAGAAAGAGGAAGAGAACCCAGGCGGTTACTTTTAGATAACTGGTTCAGTTTTCTACAGGAAGGGTGTTGTATAAGTGTCAGCATATGAGTGTTACTGGGGTTCATGGAAAGAGGGAGTTTTTCTACTTTCTTTGCCACTCCCAGCATAGGCACAAGGGTTCTTGTGTTGGGCAGCTGGACTGAACCGTACCCAAAGTCAACCCCTGTCCAGCACTCCCCTGAAGAGCCTGGAGAATGTGTGGGTATATGCAGTGCAGTCAGTCTCAACCAAAGAGGAGTCATTTTCTGCCATTTCATAAATTTAGTCTGGGGGAATTCATAGTCGGGGGGAATTTTTGTTAAAACTGAAGATTGAAGTCTGCTACCTGGCTGGTGAGAATAAAATAAAACAAAGTAGATGTAATAATGTCACACCAGAAGGACATCAGAGCCAGCTCACACCTGCAGCCTGACCTCTCCTCTGCCATAATAGAGAAGAATAATGCTTTTGTGTTCACAGAGCCGTATTAGCAAGAGGCATACAGAGCTCTTCCTCTCACTGTTCTCAGAAAGGTAAATCTCATGGATCGAATGACCAGCTCTTTATTATCTCATTTAAAAAGAAAGAGGGATTTCTTGAGTTAACAAATCTTCACGCTAAGCCAAAAAGTACAATGCGAGTTTGACGACTCGTGTACTAAACACTTAAAGGGTTAGTTCACCCAAAAATAAAAATTAGGCTGTGTTTTACTCACCCCCGATGCATCCTAGGCAGGGCTGGATTGGCAATCGGGCATTCCGGGCATTTTCCCGGTGGGCCGACGCACTTATGGGGCCGACAGAATGTTTTTTTGCCAAAAACCATCACGCAGGGACAGCGAGCACCCAGTGGCCCATTGGTTTGTCTCCTGTATTGACAGCGTAAACATCCAATCACAATGCGCTATAGACGGAGCGATGAAATATTTTGCTCCGCTTATATAAAGATCGCATCACCCCAACTTCTTCCTCGTCGGCTTTTCCCACGTTTTCACAGGAGATTTATCAAGAACAGGCTTGCTCCCTCTGAGGTATGCTAGTCTCGCGAGTTTGTTTATAGGAGCAAAGGAAGCAAAGTTTCCTTACTTTAGCAAAGGAAAACCAGTCTCCTCTTGGCTTATATTGAAATCCTCTGACATTCTTCTTTACAAATCCTCGTTTTGTACTTCTAATTAGTGACCGTTGTTTTGTTTCGATCTCTCCGCTGCGTTTCTGCGTGCGTCACTTCTGAGCGGCTCATGCGCAAAGCCGACCTTATACGTCATCCGCCCGGAACTGCTTCCGTTTACAACAGTGAGCGCAAGCTAGATTCAAGTGATTATTACGTTTTGAATATGGATATTTTTCTTACAAAAACGCATCGATTCGCTACAGGAGGCCTTTGTTCACCCCCCCGGAGCCGTGTGAGACACTTTTTTTTGTGGAAGGGTGCTTTTTATTGCACGTCTTTTGGACAGAAGGAATGCAACACCCGCATTACAACGATAGAGCTTGAAAGATCAAAGACAATTTTTAATATAACTCCGACTGGATTCGTCTGAAAGAAGAAAGTCATATACACCTAGGATGCATCGGGGGTGAGTAAAACACAGCCTAATTTTTATTTTTGGCTGAACTAACCCTTTAAGATATATTACTCCAGCAACAATAAGAACAAACTTTTGAACTTCTAATACATCTGAGAATGTAGAACTCTGTTTGAACGCTTTGAGTGCCAAACATTCCGTCTCTGATTATGATTATTATTAATAATGCTTTGTACTAACTAATGTTTCAAAGTGCATTTGTTTCCAGAACGTCACAGAGAGGAAGTCAGAATTTCTGACTTTCCAAAAAGCTGATTTAACAGCATAAGAATTCTTAAGCTTGTATTTAAGGAAGTAATCAGTTACAAATTGAAAATTCTAATGAAATCCCAGATAGCACTGATTGCATACAATGTTGAGTTTTCATCCAAACCATCATCTTGGCTGAGGCTGACATTTCAGTATTTAAAGTATGTTGGTTCAACATTTAAATTTTGATGTAAGCTGACAGCACACATGGCTGGAGACAGGAATATTGAACTAATATTGATTTGTTGTTGATGACCACGACATCATAAAAGTATATCTTTGCAGAATTCTAATGAGTGTTAATCAATCAGTGGAGCATTTTCAAGCCATGATGGGCATGTTCAACTGCTTTACCTGATTTGTTTTAATCCACTGGTGGCTTGGTTTAACAGTTGGTCTTCCAGTAAAGCAGTTGAAAAACCCCTATTGTAGCTTGAAAATTATTAAGAAACACCCATTTTGGTCCTTCATGTGCACTTCTCAAAACTATTTTTACACCGGGACTGGTGCCAGAGCCCAAATGGGAACCGGGCTGCACTTTTTCACTCAAAATTTTTTTTTAAATGCTGCCAGAGTTCAGGTAAATTAACAACACTAACACAACAGTTAAGTATGACAGTTTAGAAATGGTCAGCAGAAGAGATCAACGCTCTCCTTCCACAAGAGATAACAAGCGATTGCAGTCACATGTTGGTGACATAGAGGGTTCTGCTCCTTGCCAGTGGAAACGCAAGCCAGTTCTGAATGAGTGCCACTCAGCACCAGTCGAAAAGTGGTCTCAGAAAAATCCTGAGACCAGGATCTGGTTCCAAACCGGCCCCAAAACCTTGCTGGTCTTGAACAAGGGAACCCATCATAGGTAGGTATCATATCGTAGGCGAAGCATCCACTATAGACCACCATTTGAAAGGTGCAATTTTTAAAAGCAGTTCGAGGTTCAGGTAAATTAACAATTAAGTATTTCACTTCAGCAGTGGTCAGCAGAAGAGACCAAGAAATAACAAGTGATTCCAGTCACAAGTTAAACAATGTTGCAGCTACATCTATTATTTGTCTATTCCTTTCAAGTTAATACTCTAATGAGAGTTAGCTGACATGTAGGTGCAATGTTAGAGAATGTCTAAAGTGGACCATCAAAATGAAGTGTAGGAATTTACTTTCCTACAACATTAAGCAGATTTCTTGAAGTGCAAGTGACAAACCTGAGCAAGAATGTCAGTTTATACACAGCCCATGTCTTACATATATACTAAATGCTTGCATAGCATCTTGCGTTCTTTTCTTTCCCTTAGCACAGGGGTCTCCAAACTCGGTTCTGAGGGCCGGTGTACTGCAGTTTAGCTGTTAAACTCTGCAGGACATCGGCCCTCCAGTACCGAGTTTGGACACCCTTGCTTTAGTAGAAGTAAAGGCAGGTGAGGATGGACAATTACAGAAATGAGAAGCACCCACCTAATAATGGTGACGCTAATTATATGTTGAGATGTAGTCAACAGCATGATCACCTGACCGGGGACTTGATGCTATCCTGTGCTACTGTATATGTCCTGCTCTCCAGTTACTGCTTTATCAGGTAATCATTCATTTTCCTCAATCAGTATTACAGTTTTTCTCAATCGATTTGACACTTTTCTCCAATGCAATGTACTTGTTCTCAATACAATTAGCACAACCATCCAAACACAAAATTATCTTAACCAAACAGTTCAACTTTACTGCAAAATGAAGCACTGCAATTTTTTCTAGTAATGCATTTATTAAAAGTAAATATTAACATCAAATCTTTAGGTGGGTTCTCTATTGATTATAAAACATGCACATTCAGCTGTAGATGCACAAATATGCTAATGAAAATACATGTTTATTTCAATTCTTATTGATTTATCTTATTTTTACCATATTTTATTATTATTATTATTTGCATATTTGTTCTTGCTCTTTGTATACTTTCCATTTTATTATTACTCTAAAGCAGTTGTGATAAATGTGTAAACGATTAGGAAAACTGCATTTCCTGTGTTGAGTGCATAATTAACCGAGCAGTTATCAGTTTAGGGCCAATCGAAAATATACTATGTTCATTTGATTGAATGACAAATTACAGAGTTTTGTTTATTGTGTTTGGACAAATGGTTCATAAATGTTTGTGATTTGTGTAAAGCCTTTTTTCAGCTATTTTAAAGTATTGGTTGGTTGTATTAACTATTCTGAAAACAGAGAGTTTTTGTGCACATTGTTTTGAGAAAATTATTTGCATGATTTGTAATTTGAAATGAATGAAAATATTCAATCTGTTTAGGAAAATTACAAAGTATTCAGATCACTGTGTTAACTGTTTTGAGAACAGTGACCTGAGTTTGGAGAAATGTCAAATCGATTGAGAAAAACTGTAAATGTGATGAATGTAACTGATCTCCATTCAGTTTAGCCTGTTTCCACTTAAACACAATCACAAAAAAACTACTTGTGTTTATGAGAAAGTGGCAGTAGAGGCCATTTTGTGACATTTAAGGAGATTAAAGTCTAAATAAGGTGAATCCACTGTACAGCTTATTATATTATTTACAGACTAATGTTCCCATCCCATACTTTTTCCTGTGAGTAATGGCCATAACTCAGAGGTGGCCAGCTTCATGCTGAGTTTCGAGTTCACGGATCCAACACACCTGCCTGGAAGTTTTCAGTGATCATAAAAACATTCATTAGCTGTTAATAAACTCGGCTGAAGAAATTGGACATCCCTGTCATTGTGCTTTTATTTATACGTTTTTATCGTAGAAACTGTATTGATATTAAAGTGTGAATAGGTTTTAGCTAATAGATTAAATAGAATTTAATGATGCTACAATCATAGTTGGAATGTTTTTGTGTTTACTAAAAAATGAATCATATTGTGTTTAACATATTAACATTCCTGAATGTGACCGTGTATGACAAATTAATTGACTTGCTCTTAAGCGACATTATGCTTTCTTTTTCAGATTCAGGAGAACCCAAAGGAAGAAAGGCAGCAGTCTGATGTAAGCCAGCTTCTAAAACTTGAACCACTGGACCACCTTTAGTCTGTCATCAGACTCCTGAAACTAATCATTTTAAAGGTTAAAGTGCTTTTGTCCCACTTTTATTTTTAGAAGACTGATATTTTGTATCTTTTTGTCATTGATTGTGTTAAACTGTTAAAATAAAAAATAAAGTGACTTAACTGCTGGAAAGGTGTCATTTTCCTTTTAAAAGGGTTTCCCCAAACTATGAAGCAGTCAGTAATTTGTTAATGTTCCATTTGAAGTGTAGTTGAAATATTAATGTTTCAACATTAACTAAGTACGGTGGCCGAGAAGTGCTGAGCAAATCACAATTCTGAAAACAAAATAACAGACTTGCATTTGCGTTTGTAATTTGTTATTTTGTTTTCAGAATTGTGATTTGCTCTGCACTTCTCGGCCACCGTAACTAAGGGTGAATAAGCGATGAACCATCATCACTTCATAATGTTGATTCAGTGACATTAGTGTTGTTTTATTTTTATTTTTTTGAAAATGTAACATGTTTCAACATGAACTGAGGGTGAATAAGTGATGAACCACCATCACTTCATAATGTTGATTCAGTGACATAACCATTGTTTTTTTTTTGATAATTCGACATGAACTGAGGATGCATAAGTGATGTTGAACCATCATCACTTCATAATGTTGATTCAGTGACATTACCTTTGTTGTTGTTGTTGAAATATCCCTATTGTTTCTACATTAATTACGGGAGCAAAAGTGATGTTGAACAATGTCACTTCATAACAGTGATTCAATGATATTATCATTGATGTTTTGTTAAAAACTCGCCATTGTTTCAATATTAATTATGGGTGCAAAAGTGATGTTGAACCAACCCCACTTTGTATCATTAATTCAATGCAGTTAGAGTTGAGGCATCAACATTGGCTTAACATTGTTTCTAAGGTTGCTTGCTTTCTGGGATGAAAGCTTTAAGGAATTTAATTTGACATTTGAGAGGTTTCTGTTGTGCAGAGGTTTCTATCAGCAATGACTTCTGTTTTACACCGAAGGAAGGAAATTATGTCAGGGTCAACTAACCACTCACCCTTTCCCTTCACATGCTACAAACATTCTAAAAAAACACAAGTGACTTTCATTTCCTTCTAAAGCTGAGAAATATGACCATAGATGACCCATGACTCAAATTTCAGAAGAAAATATTGCAGGTCAGAAAACAACCATTGTGCACGAGTCAAATTCTATGCAAATTGTAAGCCTCACTTGAAAGCATATTGTGATTTACCCAAGTAATGTGTTATACTGTATCAACAACCTGGTCCTCAAATCTGGTCAGAGCATTAACCCCAACCTATACCTCTTAAATAAGAGACTTAAGCAACATTATTTGATAATACTGTTTGATAACCCAAACCCTAAAATCTGGTTGATAGCAAAGTTGTCCTAACAAGGACCCAGAAACCTATTTCCTCCATCTTTCTCTGTAAACAATAACATTGTATGATGCTCATGTACTCATTACCTTGTCTCATTCCCATGGATGTAGTAAGTAACATCACGTGTGTGTGTTTAGCGTCCTCGGCAGAGCCACTGGTCAAGGAACACCCCAATTAACATGAACCACTATGCCAATAAGAAGAGTGCAGCAGAGAGCATGCTGGATATCGCGCTGCTGATGGCCAACGCCTCCCAGCTGAAGACCATCCTGGAGCTGGGACCCACATTCTCCTTCTACATTCCTCTCATCAGCCTCATCAGCATCTCCCTCATCCTACAGATCATCGTGGGGGTCTTGCTTATCTTCATAGGTGAGAGAAACTAACCAAACTGAGAACCTAAGTTTACATGCGTCAAAATATAGACAATAGTGATTTTATACATGATTTGCTTCTGTAAGACAAAACATACTGTGATTAGCAGTATCACACCCTATTTCATATAGTACTTCATATTGCATAAAATGACACATTGAAGTATGAACATCATATCATATGCAGTGGCCCAAAAAATGTATATCACCTTTTATAATATAAATACCCTTTAAAAAAAAACATGAGAAACTATTTAAATTAAACCTTTCAAACTGGTAGTGTAGTATGCAAAGCAGTATTTAAATATTAAACGTCTCAAAAAGTAGTTCAACGTAAAGTGAAAATTCTCTTTACTCACCCTCATGTATTTCCAAACCTATGTATGACTTTGTATTATGTTCTGAAGAATGTTCATGCTGTTCTTCAAAAAAAAACAAAACATAAAACTAGTCAGTACAATTTAAGCACTTTAATCCTAGTCTTTTGAGGTCATTTGCTTGAGGAACAGATTGAACTACAAGTCATCACTTTTACCAAAATCTTGCCTTGAAGATCCTGTTTGACAGCAGTGGTCCCCGTTCAGTTTTACTATATAGGAAAAAGCAGCATGGATGTTTTGCTGTAATAAAAATTCCATTTGTGTTCTATGAAAAAAAAGAAAAGTCTTCCTTACTGGGTTCTGAAAGACATGAGGGTGAGTAAACAATGACAGGAATGTAATTTGTGGGTGAATTATTTTAACATTTGGCAATTCAATCCAGTAATAACTGTCTAGAAGGAGAACTGATAAATGCTCTATGCATACCAAAACAGTACTTTAATTACAGAAGTTGCAGAGAGGTTGATCCTATACACAAATATTTGTATGTAATAAATATAGTTTCAACATGAATATATCAGGTGAAAGTCAATCCTGCAGCACTTTGGTGTTTCCCATCAGACATTTTAAAAGATGTAAAACAGCTTTTACTTTTATTTTTGTCCACATAGTGTGAGTAAGAGCAGATGAATTATCATATGAATCATATCAAGAGATTCAGTCCCAATTTCAGAAATATTCATATTCTCTGCTCAACTTCAAAAAGCCCCCAGCGTCCCATTTCTAGCAATCATTCCTATTTCCTCAAACACAACTCTGTCTTTACACCAGAATCCGCTGTGAACACAGTCAGGCTCTAATTAATGGAAAATGAGCTTTATCTTTGGTATTGAAGGTTTTAGAGTAGTCATGCAAGTTCTTTTGAACATGAGCTGCGAGTAAGTGTGTGGTGTTAGAGGTTTTGACACTTGCTCTATAGAATGATGGACACCAAATAGTTATAATCATTTTGTCAGATTTTAGCCTTTCATTTTAATTTAAGAAGCTGTTAAATATCCTTTTCTTAAATGTTCTGAATTACATAATGAGCTGCTGTTATTGCTCTTGTTCTACAGTGAAGTGGAATCTGAATGACACAAGTAAACACTACATACTGAATCTTCTGGAGAACATCGTCACAGCTCTCGTCTTTGTCATCGTAGTAGTAAATGTTTTCATCACAGCATTTGGCGTCCAAAGACCAGAGGACACGAAATCATAACTGACAACATGAGTTTAGGATTTCATACAATTATACATATTTGGACATTTACTATCAAACATCAAGCAAGTTGTCATGACATATTCAAATGTGCCTCGATGTAAATATGCCTTATGTTTTGCAGAACCTTTTTTAGTCCCAAAATGAGCTAATAAATAATATTAATTTAATTTGAAAAATGCAACTACATGTAATTATTTTATGGGTAATTGTTTAATTATATAATTGTTAAAATGTATCAATTGTGAAATTGGATTGGATAGCCTATTCTAATCGGATCATTACTGAGATTGAAAATAATCAAGACAGAAACTAGTCAGACAATACCTTTCAAGCCCGAAATGGAGAGTAGCACCTCACCTCACATGAGACCTTCATACTGCCTACCTGATCACTGTATCAGCTGTCTATATGGGGAAAATGGACTCATTTTACGTGTGGTTCAACACAATGCAACTCTCTTGCACGCAGCACGTTTGTATTTGTTTTTACTTACAGGTCTAATTTGTTGCATGAATGATAAATTGCTTACAAAGTCAAAGAAGTCTAGTAATTGCAGTGAAGAGTGTTAAAATCGGCACTTTAGCAAAACTGATATTTTTCTTACAAAACTTTGGAAGTGAAGATTAAGTATCATAAATACAGCACATTTTTCTTCTTTTATTAACCCCAAAACGTCAGAATTTGATTTTGAGAATTTGTATAAGAGCGCCATCTACTGACTTGGCAAGCATATTGCCTTTTTCCTTGAAATATTTTTATTTTAAATTTTAATGTTGTTTAGTGTTTTGATGTTTGTTGTGATTATTTACTATCCATATGTTTATATGTTTCTTGGACTTTTTGTACATTTTATATCGATATTGTTTGTATAAATGGCCAACTATTTCCTTTGTTTTTCACTTTTAGAGAGCAGTATTGAGTCATAAAAGAAAATCAAGTAATTCAAAATAATTGCATTTAGTCATTCAGTGCACAGATAAATAGTAGACCAACTTACAGTTGTTCAGTATTGCGCACTGGTCTTCCTCAGTCCTAAATCGACTGCATTTAAGGACAAAACAATCATTCTGACATCAATAAAACTATTTTTCAGCAATCTTTTTTTTTTTGCAACTAGTCAAGTGTTTGTTTTGGTATATCAAGACGTGGAAATCAAATTCATCTCCAAGTACATTAGCAACAGTTCCACAGTTTTATTTAGCCTAATAATTTTTTTAACCCCTGACAAAAAATATAGTTTCTCAGTTAACTACTGTGAATGTGCCCCATTAGCAAATTCATCTAAAAAGTTTCCAGGCCAAAAAGTTTTATAAAACACTTACAGTTGCACTGCAGAAACAAGACCACAAGAGTAAATTGACAATATTAATTATTAGTACACAAACCAGTACAAACATGCTGCTAGTATAAAAGTAAGCAAACAATATAAACATATTTGTTGAAAACTTAGCCCACAAAAAAGGTATTACAAAGTAACAAACTCCTAATACTCCAAGGTACTGGACTTTAAGGTTATCTGTAGTCTTTATTGTCTTATGTGTCAAAATATTGACACGTTGATCAATTTGATTTGTCAAGTTTACCCAGTTTTGCATGTACTAAATGGCGTAGTGAATTATAAACCTCCAACATTTTACTACTATAATCTCTTGGCAAGTCCCAAGTCTGTGAGAATTGAAAGATACTGACTATAAATAATATATAAATGAGTTTGACGTCTATTTTTAAAGTACAATAAAACAAATGCACAAACAAAATGAGGGTCGCAACATTAACAGAGCAGCTCAGCGTTTCAACTTCAACTAAATACTTTAGTGCAAGTAGCGAGTCTGGTTCCTATCCAACTTTTCTTAAAAGTAATGAGTTCCTGCCCTTGGTATTGCATATAAATTGCTATTATTTCATTGACTGTAATGTTTGATTAAAGATATTAAGCAGTTATATAAACCATTCAATTGTTATATTTAAAATTGAAGAGATTCCAGATTTAGCCATGAAACCTAAAAATGAAATCTTTGGAATTCAGCCATTCTAATTCTGAATTCTAACAATAATTTCTCTATTATACATAGTATGTACATATTTTTTAAAACCTGAATTAAAATATTTTTTGATATTTTTGACAAGGATAACGGAGTATTTCAGAATCAATTGCTGTGTCTAAATTATTTTTTTAAGGCAGCAAAAAAGCCATCATTTTCCATCTTCTGTGTACCAGATGAGAACGTCCCGCACTTTTCTACTAAGACCCATCGCAGCCAGACCCAGAGCGCTGCTGGAGCCTGACACCTGCTTGGACTCTGCAGAAAAAAATTTTTTTGAGTGCTTTCAGTCTAGGAAATGCATATTTTTGATGTGGGTATTAAGATATTAAAAAGTTTGTGTACTTACCGCCATAGTAATACAGCAGAGCTGCTCCTACAGCCAAACTGAAACAACTAAGGAAGAAAAACGGACCTGCGCAGTGACAAAAAAAAAAAAGTATATATATATATATATATAGTGTGTGTGTGTGTGATCCTGGA